CAAGGGACAATATTATCGAATTCGAAACTTCCAATTATACAACTTATATTTTAATATTAGTATATAGGGTGTTTCAAAAAAACCATGTCATCAGTGACGCACATATTTTTTTAGAAAAATATTCTAGTGATAACCCATATGCACGTCACTGGTGAATATGTGGACACTTTTTAGCATTAAAATCCCCACGAGATATGGCACATGTTTTTGAGACACCCTGTATAAATACATATTTAATATAAACCACTCTGTATAGATAATAATATAATAGTATATTTGAAACAGGAATTTATGGCAGATCTGGTGATAAATCTACTAAACAAAACGATATACGAATTCTATTTTTAAATCTCTATACAGTTTAAAAAATAAATCTATATATTTTACATGTAAAAAATTCTAATTCTGAGAAAAAAATTACACGTGCCCAACCCTGAAATTTATATTATGTATGTCAAAATTCAAAATCTGTGGTCAAGTCAAGATGGTGGATCAAGGCCATCAAAAATCAATATATTTTTTAGAGGATTTATTTATTTATTATTTATTTTATTTCTGTATCTTTGTCTGATCTAAAAACATTCTAAAAATATTGAAAATTAAAACCTCTAAATTATAGATAAATTATTAGAGACCCATTCTAGTTCAAAACGGTTTAGTATTAATGAGAAAATTCGTGTTTTTTTTATCACAACTCCATAGAAAATTCTTGCAAAACAATTATTTTACAAAGGTAAATATTAAAATTTATTCTATAAATGTTATGTTTATAAGAATTAATACAGATTACATCAGCTTAACTTGCTATATTTATCAATAATTCTTTACACAGTGTACAACAGTTGTTTTTGGTTTGGTTCCTGTTATTACAGGATAAATTATAGTGATAAATTCATATATTTATTTATTTAATATTAGCATTGTATATACTTATTCTGAATTAAGTAAATTCACTTATCAATCGCATTGTTTTAGCGATAATAAATTGCAAAACATCGTATGATGAAGAATGATTAAAAAAATGACTGAAGCAACTGTACGTGAAAACCTGAAAAGCGTATGGCAAAGAATAGAAAAGGCTTCGAAAGAACGCCCAGCTGAGTTTCAAGATGTTACACCAAGATTGTTGGCTGTTAGCAAGACAAAACCCGTAGAAGACATCATAGAAGTGTATAATGCTGGTAAAAAAAATACTGTTTTGAGTTTCATCATTTTTTGGTAATAAAAAAGGGATTTTTTGTAGGACAAAGACATTTTGGTGAAAACTATGTTCAGGAACTGGTAGATAAAGCCACTAATCCAGAGATTCTGGAAAAATGTAAGGAGATACGGTGGCATTTCATCGGACACCTACAAAATAACAAAATCAATAAGATACTTCCATTGCCGAACCTCTATATAATAGAGACTGTGGATTCTGAAAAACTTGCTTCCAAACTGAATCAGAGTTGGCCAAACTTTCGTAATTCTGACTCAAAGTTGAATGTAATGATACAAATCAACACAAGTGGTGAAGAAGAAAAAAATGGCATTAAACCGGATGAAGTGACTAACTTGGCAGATTTTGTACTGAATCAGTGCCCTAATTTGAGGTAGAATTCAGTTATTTTATCTTTTTTATACTGTATGATCGAAAAAAAGCGGCGTCAGAGACGGAGAGGAATGATAATTGATAATTTTGGCGAGGGCAATCTCTAGACGTCATTTTTTAACAGCAATAATTATAGAAAGATAGAACGTTTCCAGAGGCATAAATCTATTTCCAAAAAATTACCTACATCATTTAAAAATCATTTTTACCCAATATAAAAATAAATAACAACCTTCTTAAGGCCATCTGGCAGTAAGCGCCAATAAAAATAAAGAAGAATAATGAGTAACTGACGTCTAGCATTCGACCTCGCCAAAATTATCATCGATTTTCATTCCTCAGCTGTTTTGACACAAATTTTTACACAAACAGTTATTTTGTAGACTGGATGGACTAATGACAATTGGAATGTTCGGCTATGACCTGTCAAATGGTCCCAATCCGGATTTCATTTGTTTAAAAAAATGTAGAGATGAAGTTTGTGAAAAATTCAAGCTGGATTGTAAAGATTTGAATTTGTCTATGGGCATGTCGAATGATTTTGAACATGCCATCGCTATGGGAAGCACGAACGTTAGGGTTGGAACAACTATTTTTGGCGTTAGGCAGAAGAAAAATTGAAATATATGTCTGTCTTTCTGTTTTGTTATATTTGGAAGTTTATTTTAATATAATTTTAAAGTAAATTACGCTTATTTTGATACTTGTGCATATTAGAATATACAGGGTGGCGCCTCTCATACGACCCGGAGGCTCCAAGAATGACTGTATTGAAATAAAATTTTGTGAGCAAAAAATTTACTCAAGAAAGTTACACATCGAAATTGTATTTTTTGTAATGGAGCGTCCTATATTTATATTATATGATTTTTCGATTCTAGTAAAAAAACAAAGGTAAGTTTATGTTTAAGCATACCCATATGACTAAAATCCTTGTATATGAATTTAAACAAGGCTAAAATGTAAGATTTTTGACAAAGCTGAAAAAGATATTTTAAAGTTCAATAAAAGCTATCTAAATTGGAATTTATCTGGTACATGCTAACGTGTAATCAAGATAACGATTGTACTTAAAATCAAACCAAAACTTGACTTGAAAAGTTACACAGGGTGAGGCAAAGTTAATATTGAGCATTGGTCGCTTTTAAAAGCATGTTTTTCTTTGATTTTAAATGGGACACCCAGTATATTATTCCGATATTCATTGCAGAATTCGTGCCTCTTCAAAATACTCCAGTGATTAATCAGATGCGCGTCCGTGGTGAATATGTCGATACTTATTTAGCCATTAAAATATGTCGCAGTTATAGTAACTTTTACCCTCAAAATTTCATTCAAATCGCTAAAAGCACTTGGAAAAAAATTATAATAAATCGAATAAAGATGAAAACTTTAACACCCTGTAACTACGAAAGAAAGCAGAATCGGACCTAGGTGAATATCAAAATAAATTCCCACTAGAGCTGACACATTTTTTTCGAAACACCCTGTATGAACATAATGAAAGCAAGGTTATTTGAAGGTTTCCAATACTAAAAGAAAGGATTTGAAATTCACGAGTTTAAATAAAATAAAACACGTATTTATTTATTTATATTATTTATTACTCTTTAGTTTCTGATGGCGTTTGGACCAACTAGAGCAACCTTTAGATTGATACAGCTCTTTATTTACTTATTTCTCTATGAAGGTACAAAAAAATGTTTCAAATTTTTAGTAAGCCACATTTAACAGAAAAAATAAATGAGCTTGTGGAAAATTTGAATTTAATGTTATGTCCCTTTAGACACTCAACTACCTATTAAATATTTGTAATCAAGTAACACAGGGACAAATTACATTAATCTGAGTTTAAATAAAACACGTTTTTTTAAAGAAAACTCTTTATTTTTGTAAACTTAAGCTGAAAAAATGTCTTCCTGAGCCTTTTTCCAGACGTTCAAAGGTCCATGTTCTGGCCTGTATTGTACATTGCAACCGTCATATGCCAACCGACCCTGTGTCTTCAAATCCTCATAAACATCACGTTCGTATTTGGTGAAACCACTTTGAACTTCTTGGACACGTAGATCTTTTTGACGACCGGGGAACTTGAACTTGGCACGCCTCAGGGCTTCGATCACTTGCGCCTTGAAACGGTCCGTGGATCGGACGCTCATGATCGGCTGACCGATGCGGACTCTGGCTACGGTACCTTGAGGTTTACCGAAAGCACCCCTCATTCCTGTCTGAAGCCTATAAAAACACAAACAAAAATTACTTACTTGTTATTTATCAGTAAAACATAGGTTATTTTTCTATTGAGATACTATAAAAATGTTTCAAATTTTTAGTAAGCCACATTTAACAAAAAAAAAAAATGAGCTTGTGGAAAATTTGAATTCAATGTAATGTCCCTTTCGACGCTCAACTACCTATTAAATTTAATGTAATCAAGTAACACAGGGACAAAATACTTTAAAAATTAAACCAAACTTTCTTTGTACATACCTATCGGCTCCAGCACACGACAACATCTTGTTAATTCTGATAACATGGAAAGGATGGAGTCTCATACGGATGTGGAACTGATCTTTACCGCAATTTTTCACCAGGTATTTGTTACAGCAGATACGACCAGCTTCGAGGGCTTCTGAACTAAAATAAATACATTCTGTTGGTTTCAGAAACATATACAAAGCGTTTTAGCAAACCTTAGTTGTTCATATTCGTCAGAAACTAGATGAACACAAAGTGGGAAGTCATCTACGGCTGCTTTCTTTTTACCCAAGTCAAAAATACGGATTTTTGGGTCTGGGACACCACGACAAAATCTTGATTTTGGGTAGGGTTTGTTCTTACAATAACGATAACTGAAAGAACAAGAAATATATGTTTGAGATAATGTCGCAACAAAAACAAAACTTACCATCTTGCGGGACGGCGCCCCATTTTCGTGGCCTAAAAATAAAAAAACAGTTACAAGACTAAAAATAAATGAGTTCGAGGCAAGATAGATTAATTTAACAACTTTAAATCAAGTTATTGTGCAATATTGTGAAAAGATTGTTAAAATATTTAAAAAAACAAACCTGCAAATCACTGATGCGACCACAAAAAGAATTTTAAAGGGTGTGAAGTTAGGTACTTATATTTGTCAAATTTTTGACACTTTGGAATTCTTCTTCTTGATTGGTTTCACGGCCTAAGCTGCCAGGACTATACGGCCAGGCACTTTGGTCAGATTTACTTTATAATCATGGATGGGTTTCCTTAAAATCAAAGATATACAGATAATCTACTTTAGCAAAGTAAAAAACTATTTTTATGTATCCAATCAAGGATGGATTTTATACCACTATGCTGGATAGCTCGGGCAGCTGTGACCATAAAACATATATATATATCTATAAAAAAAGAAGAAGATCTTACATAACCTAACTGTCAAATCAGGGAGAGATCTGTAGATTTTAATTACCAAGATTTGAGCCCTAATTATTAAATAACAATGGGAATTATAATGAGTAGTGGTGTAAAACGATACTTTTATCCCGAGGTAACACCAGATCCAGCCGAACAACCATCGTTTGACCCGTTACTTGGTTTCCCCAATGGACGACCCGAAAGAGGTTTTAGACCTTTTTTATCGTTAAATCCTTAAATTAGCAATCTATTTTATTTTTAGTATCGAAAGTTACCGATGCGGAATTAAAATCGGCGTTAATCCCCCTTGAACACAGAGATTTTTGTGCTGATCTCGCTATCGATTACAAAAGATGCAGGAGAGACACTTTCCCTTTTGTCGTTAAATGTTCGCACGAAAAACACGCCTATTTGAACTGTAAATATGAAGAGTAAGTCCTTTTCTATCTTAGTATTAAATAATTTAACTTCTTTGCGGTTTTAGTTTTGTTATTAGAGCTAAGGAATACGAGAGAGAACGCAGATTGAAAGTCAAAGCTGAAGAAGCTAAGAGACGCAGTGGATAAGGAAAACAATATATTTTTGTTAGTCAGGTTTGGATTATTAGTCATTTATTGTATATACACAAGATATTAAATAAAAAAATTAAGTTAAAATTCACTTTCAAAACCTATATTGTTAAAGTATCCAACTTTTACATACGTATTTTTAAAAATAAATTAATTTGGCTTAACACTTGTTATAAAAATTCATTTTTTAAAGTATACTATTGAAGTAAAGCTTGCAGTTGTTTCACGCAGTTCGTTCTTTTGCATTCCAGTTCATTTCCTCCAGAAAAACTATGCAACTGTAACGTAGTCAAGAAATTGCTGTTATCGTTCACTCTCTGAACAATTTCAGTCTTGTGAGAGTTTGACTGCTGAATTAATGTCCCTTAAAGTATATTTTGTTCATAGAATACACAAAATATATTTTTTAAAATGAAATACATACCTAAGGCAACATAGATTCTAAAATGAGACTCTGGATCCGTGAGTTTGGTTAGAACATCAGGTAGTACTTGTGCTAGGACTGAGAAACATACGTCGTCGTTTTTTTTAATTGACAAGACAGTCATGTTGAGTAGGACTGTGGCTAAGGCAATCTAAAAAAAATTAAAAAAATATATGTCCTAGATCATATACTACAATTTCTTCTGTATATAGTTTTTACCTACCTGTGCATTTTATTTAAATGACCCAAAGATGTGATATTCTCCAATATGTCAAACTGGATTACTATAAACTAAATTCTCTCTCCTGGCCAGTGACAACACAAATTACATAGAGTTCTAAACGCCAGAATCGTATTGTTGGGTATTTTAGTTTCACCAATGAAACTCAACAGTTTTTGCATGATTATGCCGTTGTTGGTTTCGATATAACCTCATTGTTCTTCTGGTGCCTCACAGCCAGTCTTACAATGTCAGCACTGGAAAAACCAGCTCTGAAATGAAGATATAGTTGAAGAAATTGGAGATTTTAAATATTTCAATTATAGTACCATCAGGCCAGTCTAGTAACCTAAACAGTAGGTCAAATGTGTTGGGGGCTTTTGAGGGATTCCCACACAAATATCCACCAAAAACTGTCTAATTCTTCCTTCAATTACTTTATTTTTGGGTACTGTTAAAGTTAAATTCTTTAAGTTTTTTTTCAAGATGACATTTGGATCCTGTGTCAAAAGTTTTGTATGTCGATATATAGGAAAGTATGAACTGGTTGAAGTCTTTTTAACATAGAAAAAAAAATGATTTAGTTTGACAAATTTCATCTCAAGAGAAATAATTAAACATAGAGGTTTCTCACTATACCGGGTGTTTTAAGTTCGGTTCTCACCCATTGTAACCTCTTAATGTTGCCTAGAATGGTGAAAGCCGAATTTGGACAATCCTATACCTAGTGATAGTAGTGGTATAGCTTGATCCCCCTGTAAATGGATCAGTATTTGCTCCACTTTTCGACACTGACACAGAACTAGAAGTCTTTTTTAGAAGCAGCTGTAGAATAACTGCTTCCGCCTAAAATAAATTAGTCAATAGATTTGTAAAAAAGTAAAAAATATAGGTTATGTTTCACAGAAAAGATTTAATAACATTTTTAAATAAAACAAATAAGAATTTACCTGTAAAAGGGTCGACATTAACACCTGTTTGGTTTGAATTCGACTGATAACTGGGGGTATATCTACTTCCCCCAGTAAAAGGGTCTTGATATTGGTTGTTTGTAGGTGGAACAAACTGTTCTTTACTGTTTTTCAATATGAAATCGACTACCTTAAAGAAAACTGTAAATAAAGGTTGTAAAATAATTTAAATATGAACGTACTTGTTCTAAATAGTCGCCTGGTAGTAAATTCTTTACTAAAAAAGCGTGAGCCGCTTGGTAGACGTCATCGCCTCTGTTGTAGGGTAGTTTTAGTGGGGGTTTGCCATCTTCTACGTCAACGTTAAATACAAAATCGTAGGGCTGAAGTAGAGAATATATATTTTTTTTTAATGAAAATAAATTAATACTTTTATACTTAGATTAATAATAAAACACAAAAAAGAATGGTAAATGTGTCTTATAAATGGATGAAATATCCTAACTAAAAGGAAGACACCACGCTCATAGAAAACTTCATTTGTTATCCATCATGCATACTTTATATACACTTTTATATAATATAGTAATTTTAGTTTAAATTTGGATTTGTAATATACAAAGTTATAGGGGTGAGCCACTTTTGAGACGCACCCGGTATATCCATGGAATATTGACATTTTAGATTCATGATGTAACATTTTCAAAGAGTACAGATACTAATATTGTTAATATAGTTCGTTTATTTCCGAGTATTTCTCATTAAAAAATAAAAAAGTTGCAAGCTAAAAGCTAATTTTATCATTATTTTTTTGATATTCTCCGAAGTTATAGGTTAAACAAACTTAATAACATAATAAATAATTTTTAGATAGAATTACAAACTTCGTGTATTGTATGTTAAGTAAATTAAGTATAAAATAAAAATACAAATAATAGCGATCCTGTGTTTTAATAAATAGATCTTACCTTGCCTTCAAACACCGTTTTCCCCGACGCATCTTTATCAGTCCCTCCCATGACGTCACCCACTTTATCCCAATGGCTAGAATCACCCTCCGACACCCAAGTATAGGCAACCACCTTGCCTCCCTCGCGTATCATTTTCATCTGACCTGCCCTCTTACCCGGTTCGTACAGGGCCTCTTTACCAGGCAAACTAGCAAATTAAAAAAGAAAAAATTACTAATTCATAGTAGGTCAAATGTACCGACTCACTCTGATACTTTAATC